AGAACATAATACTACACGTAAAGAATCCTAACGTGAAACCAAACGAAGAAAGACAAAACCCCAAATTGAAGGACTATGGTAGGCTACGATAGGTTTATCCATATTCACTTTTTACGATTCCAATATCTTTCTTTCTATTTTTGTTTAAATTTAATAAATTCGTAAAATTACTCTTGGCTAATACGTAATTTGGAACATCCCTTCTATGCTTCCTAAGATTCAAAATCATCAATACCTGTGGGTTATATATATTAGAAAAATAATTTGGAGTTCCTGAAATTATTTCTAAGGTACAAAAGAATTTATTTGAGATGATTACTTAAATAACTTGTGTATTTGTCGAAATAGTTAGTTGATGTATATGAACAATAGTTAATACTATATATGTCTACATATTTTCAATTGGTAAAAGAAAATTTTAATTATCAAAAAAAAATACTATATATGTCTCTCTACATATAATTTTGTTCAATTCTAGCAATATGAGTACAAAATATTTATCTCTCTTTTCCTGTTTGGTGACGTATGTGTTCATTATTAAGTTAGAAGTTATACTTAATTTACTTTTTTGCAACAAGTTATCTTGATATATAACTTTGAACATATCACATAATCATTAGATCTCTAACTCTTTGTTACTATCGGTTAGACCTTCTAACTCTTTGTAAATTAGTATCTAATTATTTGAAGATTTACGCCGACTTACTTTTTTCAATTAAATAATGATATTAACAACTTCCTATTATGAAACATGATATCATTTATTGTTCAAATGGTACAACAAGATAGCAATAACGATAACTGACACTTAATGTTCTATATCATATGCTGAAAATTTCAAAATTTTAAGTTAAATGATTATATAAATTCTTTTGATAAACCATAGTCAACACGAACACAAATTTCAGGTAGATATAGTATATAGATTACTTATAAATCAGGATTATATAACGTTTAATTTTGTACGCTAATTAAAATTAATTTTGTAGGAAGGAAAGAAAAGTATGTTAATGGAATTATATTATGCTTGATATATACTTTTTTTGTTGCAATAGCATTATTACTTGGAGCACTTCTCAATTATTCAGTACATTATGCACTCATTTTTCAAGTACATATAAAAGATTGATTATGATTTATTGAAAGACTATAATTCCAGGAGAAGTAATAATACACTTTTGTGGCCTCTTTTATATGAACAAGAACAAGCTTTGAAAACTATATTACAAAGAGTCAATTCCGGTTGAGTGAGATTGTTCTTAATTTGTAGATGGCCCTGGAGGAACCGAAAAAATATTTCTATATCAGGCATTACCTGCGCAAATGTCAGACCAAGGGGCATAACTACAAGTGGTATAGCAACAATAATTTTATCAGGGGTCATATAGCTCACTCTAGAATTGCTCTTCAAATAACTGAAATGATTATTATAAATATGTCAAAGCAGACCAATGGAGCTAAACTGGTAAGGAAGGAAAGTTGATAATCTAGGATGAAACTCTAATGACAAAGTATTAGGCGGTCAAAACAGTTCATAGGAGCTTAAGAGATATAATGGATGACGATGATTTGGTAGAAAAGTAATAACTTTTGGAGGTGATTTTTGTCAAGTTCAACAAATAGCTCCAAAAACGGCGAGAGTAGCAACTTAAATGCTAGCTCGGTAAAATCATACTTATAGCTAAATAATAAAAAAAATTAGCTAATAAGAAATACGAGAGCAAGAAAAGATCCAGCATCTAGTGATTTATTGCTTCATGTCGAAAGTAGAGAAGGGCCTACAATAAAAGATGATTTGGTCCTTCTTCCAAAAAATTGGTTATCAAGGCCAATGGTGATATTAGTGGTAAAGATCACTTAATAAGAAAAATATTTTCCTCATTAAATAAAATGAAAGTTATGCAACATACATGACAGAAAGAGCTATCTTAGCTTGCAAAAATGAATATATTGATCAACTAAATGAGAAGTCGATTACTAAGTTACCAAGTAAAAGCAAAATATTTCTCAGTGTCGATTACCAACAACTAATATCAGAAAAAAATATTTCAATACTTTAACACCTGATAGCCTTCCACCACACAAGTACTTTGGCAAGTTCATTATTTCATGTGTTTGTTAGTGTCTTGTGTTGTCCGCTACTGTGTTAAAACACGAAATCAGAAAACTGTTAGAAGAATAAAAGAAATTGGAAAACAATAAAGAATAAGAAATATTCCGAGTCCACAATTTGCTTGTGCGTCCTTAAGGAATTTTAACCCCCTCACACGTTGCCAAGGTAATGGATTAAATCCTCCCAGGATGAAACGGAATAAACCTTCCTGCAACAGTGGCAATACAAACTGCAGGATACCAACAAACTCAAAGAACGAAGCAAAATCACACTTACGAATTTGAGAGAGAGAGACTGCGAATTAGAATGCAGTATTTTTAGAAAGAAGGAAGTTATGTGATATTTTTTTTGGTTTTTTAAAAACGAAGCCATGCCTCAGAATTTATAGGCAATTATTGGAAGAGGTGTGATGTTTGTTCTGGAAAAGGTGTCTGTTCAGAAGTTTACGCGTCTTGCCGCGGTCCTACCGCGTTTACGCCAGGACCGCGGCCAAACTAGCCTTCTGAATCTGCAGCAGTGTTCTGGCGCAGTCCTACCGCGGTTACGCCAGGACCGCGGCCAGACTATCCTTCTGAATCTTCAGCAGTGATCTGACATTTAATTAATTATTAAATAATTAATTAAATAAATTTTGTCCAAAAATAATCTTATCGATCGATCATTTGACAAATCCAAATCCAAATCCAAATCCAAAGCCGAAGCCGAGCCGAGCGAGCGACGACGACGGCGCGAGGGTTCTTTCTCTTCAACTCCTTTTAAGAGCTTTAAGAAGTGATTCTATATATAAGCACACAAATATAGTTGTCCCTCACCAATGAGGGACAAAGTGCAAGTCAAAAGCTCACTTTATTCAAATTTTCATTTCCCTCCATTTTATTTCCCACCATTTTCAATTCACACTCTTAGACTTTAAAGCCCAATGCTTAAAGTCTTTGAAGCCCAATGCCTTTAAAGTCCAACAATCCCCCACATGAATGGGAATGGCTGTAACAAGAATGATCATAGATGAAAGCTGTGTGATTTGCAAGTAAGGATTAATCGCATCTGGATAAGTAGGTTTCCCTTTGAACTTTCCGTAGTGAACATATGTCGGATATACTCGGTCAATCGGTAGATTTGATATCTTTGAACCGTCGAACTTTAGTGTATACCTAGACAACCATATGTCACACAACCAACCCTTAACCGTCTTTTGGTTCTCATTGTTGTGTTCGTTTCAGCCATGAACACCGCCTGGTTTCGTAAGTGTATAGAGAATTGGCCTTAAAAAATTCTCATTGAAGCGGCTTCCACTTCACACTTACATAGGTGATTCCTAAACGTGTAATCCTTTAGATTGACACTATTTGATAAATAC